CACAACCCTGCAGGGACATCGATCGGCTAGATTTATATCTGACCATTTGTGTTGTGTGCGGGTGTATGGGCCATCTCAGTTCCTGAAAATAATCTAAAATATACTAATTAAGAGGAAAATATCAAATCCGCAAAGAAAAAAACTAACAAGCTCATTAGCACAGTAAAAAAAACTATTCACTTGAATTAAAAAAACTTATACCCTAACTAACAAGTTCTGATATTGAATTGATACTTAAGTAGTAATAATACTTAGACATACTCAATCTGCCTTAGTTAACACTTTTGGAGAAAAGTAGGATTGAAAAGCCTGATTCCCTGAGTGATTTAAACTACTGAAAACTACGGCATCGAAACCCTAACGAAAATAACCGTAAGGGTTAATTTTCTCTCTATTATACATGTACTATGATACCAATTATTATGGCTGACTAGGAACGCCCACTAGATCTGAAGGGTCTGTTCTACACCCCTGTTCTTCTAACTATCCCCACGTTTGGCCATCTTTAACACGTTAGTGTCAATGCTAATGTGAAGACTTTATGACACCAAAATTTGTGGTGTTTTCTTAGCTGAGTACTTGTTTACTTCTGTGCTAATGAGCTTGCTGTGGCACCTTTAAACAAAGGAGGCAAAGAAATTATTTTAGAAAAACTAAGCTCAGAATTTGTCGTTTAAAACTGATCGAGTAAAACATAGCTTTTGATGACGTTGAATAAATTGAATAAAATTGTGAACTCCTACCGATTGGTATTGCAGTCAATTATTTCTCAATCAGACAATTGAATTAATTTGAATAAATTATTTCAGCAGAACTTAAGTCAAAACATGTCATTTAAAACTGATCGTGTAAAAAATATTAATTTTGTATGACAAGGAAAACATAACATAAAGTTGCAAAATCCTAAGCATTGATTTATGATTTCTTAATTCAATAATTGAATCTACGATAAATAAATTATTTTGGAAAAACTTAGCTCAGTCTAATTTTTTTGACTGATCAAGTGAAGAATAATGATTTTGTATAAAACTAAATAAACTGAATAAATTTGTGAAAAGCTGCCAATTGGTATTGCATTCAATTTTAATTATTAATTTCTTGATCAGCCAATTGAATTTACTTGCATTACCACAAAAGGATAGTTTTTGGAAGCTTCCTTTGTTCAAAGGTGATAATAAGCAATACTATAGTTCCAAGCACCATCATGCTATTGATCTAAATAAAACAAAATAATTCAATAAAAAAATTAAAATGTTGCCTGTCCAAAGAAAATAATTGTGATCAGTGTAAACTGACTTGGCCGATGATTTTAACGCATGATGAACATTGAAACTACAAAAAAAACAAGTAAAATATTGTCTTGAACACAAGTTTCCTAATGAGCAGCTTCTTTCCCAAAACAAAACAATTTGGATTACAAGAATGTTTTTTTTTTAACACTAAAAACAGGAAAAATTCTTGTTAGGAAAGGTAATTAGCTTCGCACTGTGGCAATAGTATTTTAAATATGATATATTTTAAAAATCAGACATCAAAATGAAGAGAACATTCCAATCCCCCATCACCCCTTAAAAGGTTTCTTATGTTAATGTTGGCAAAAGATGTTGCTTTTCAAGTCTGAGGAAAACCAATGGAAGTGAACAATACAAAAAAGGTACAGATTTCACCATAAAGCTGCTCAATAGGAATCTTGTGAGGAGAAGGAACTAGGTTTTCAAGAGCAAATAAGTGGCTTCTGTAAAATCAAATTTACTGTAATGATTATATCCTGCCGTGTCTGACTGCCTTAGTGGTACACCAAAATGCCTGTACATAATTATGCCAAAAAAGTGTGAAATCAATTTCTTTTAGGAACAGAAATAAATCATCAGAAACAGATTTTCCAGTATTCGAGTTTCAATTAATTTGTAGTAATAATGATTGCTATTGGCAAAATTTTCCGGCTCTAGTATAATGAAAGGGAATATATTTTGGTTTCAAAATAATTATATAATTCATGGAACATGTGACAATAAAGTCTTAGAATACCCCTAGAGAGAATCTGCAAGCAAGCCACTTATTTGCAGATGAACAACACCCACACAACACACTGGTCAGTTCAATACTCTGTTTATATGGGTACTAGTTACATGTGCATCAAAGTGGTATTGGAATTTATGTCTGTTAAAGATCTTCAAATTGCAACTAGATAAATTTAAAGGTCAGTAATTGCTATAAATTTTAGTTAGCTGCATATACTGGGCTTTTTATCTTAACTATTGAGTTATTGAGTGATTGTTTGATTGATTGAATGAGTTTGAATGATTGATTGATTGATTGACTTGGGAATTTCCCTTTACCTATGATTAAAATAGATATCTTTGAAAAAGACAGAAGATAAAGAAAGTGACTTCCCAATTTGCTCATTGACTTAAATAACAGCTGCAAAGGAGACTGTGAAACCACATGTGCACATGTAACTAGGAAATAAACAGAGAGAATTTTTCATCTCAATTGGCCCACAGCAATGTGTCGCCAATTCTGTTAAATTGGAATTTGGAAATATTGAATTTTAGGAGTGAGGGAAACCGGAGTACCCGGAGAAAAACCCTCAGGGCAAGGTGCACCTAATGTTTACCTTGAGTACTCAAAGAAATTTTCATCTCAATTGGCCCACAGCAATGTGTTCGCAATTTTGTTACATTGAAATTTGGAAATATTGGTTTTTCAGGAGTGAGGGAGACCGGAGTACCCGGAGAAAAACCCTCAGGGCAAGGTGCACCGTGCCATCTCTGCTGCTAGTAATATCTCATGTACCTTAATATATATATAATTCAACTTATGAAAATTCATCATTCAAGGCTTGCTTTCATCCACTGTCCTTGATCCCCAGTTGTCAGCCCTCAGTCCTATCCTTGATCCTCTGTTCTGAGTCCTGGGTCCTCTGTCCTGGGTCCTCTGTCCTGGGTCCTTTGTCCTTCATCCTCGAACCTTTAAGGTACAGAAAAGCTCCCGCTGTGAGACTGACCCTAAGAGGTTCCAAAACTGCTTTTTTAACACCTAAAAGGTACCACGAGTACTCCCGTCTTTTTTATATAGGAGTTCCCACAGGAAAAAACTTTTCAGCAAAAAAGTGAATTTCCTCATTTGAGAATACGTAAAGAAAACGCTGTGTTTTCCCTGATTTCAGCGAGCCACCAGTCGTTATTGAAAGAAAAGTGATAACATTGGTATATGTTTTTTCAGTTAAAATTTGAGGTCATCAAGGATGCCAAGGCAGAATGATAGCATGATTGGTTGGTAAGATTTGGAGTCAATTGATAATTGTCAATATGAATTCTCACATTAAAACATCATTTCTCAATTACAATTATTTGCAGACAACTATGAGTTGTCAGAAACATGTTGAGATAAAAACATGAACCATATATCTTAAGGTGATTTCTCAAAAAACTTTCCTTCAACCTTTCCTACCAAGCATTGTTTAAAAAAAAAAATAGAATTTAAAAAAAATCATTATGCTTGCAAAAGCGATACAATAGGCCAATTTTACCCCATTTATGCCTAATCACATACATTATTTTGTCAGTTCATGTTACATTTTACAGTAGCTGGAAGCAAAGTGTTCTGAGGAAAAACTTGATAGGTAGAAAGTCTAAAGCACATGGTACAATGTAATAAATAGTTTCTAGTGCAATCACACAATTTGGAACCAAAAGACTCAAAACATTCCTCCAGTCTTTGTTTTCAAGGTTATAATAATATCTACACTGTACATCCTCAAGCAACGGTTTTGAGCACGCTTTTAGCCAGATATTTTTTCCATGCAAGAATTTTTTTTAAAATTTGTAACTTAAAGAGGATGATTTGTACACCAAAATTATGCAATAAAAAACATAGGTCAACATGGTCATTTGAGAGAAAACAAGCATTTATTTCACTGCAGAGCTTAGCTTGGAAATCTCTTGATTGTGTGTATGTACACGCTTTTGAGAACATGCCATATTGTGTGAAAATCTTGCACAGTAAGGATGTGCAATGCACTTCTGAGGAATCATCTTAAAATTTGAACCAATCAGTCAGTTGTGAGTAAGGATGTTGTTATTGAGACAAGATTTGTCTGTTAAAATTTCAACAATGATGCTGAGATCAAAGGAGGACTTGCCCGTCAGTTACTCTCAGGCCATCTGTCAGGTCCCAGTAAGGATTTAGCAAATGAAATATGATTGGCCGCTTTAATATTCAATTCATCTATCAGTGGTCAATACCATTACAGATCAGTGTCAAAAAATAATTTGGAACCATCTGTCAGTTGTCAGTAGGACAGGGAGATCACAACATAATTTTTCACTTACAACTTAGAATCATCTGTCAGTTGGCAATGTGCAGTTCCAGAAAATATCCATACACATGTACTGTACTCTGCCCACAGAAGGGATTGGAAATTCCTGGGGGGTGGTGGGTTCTCTAAGATCAAAACATTTAAAGAAATGTATCAAGCTTACCGGTAATTGGAATATCCAAAGGGGTGGGGGAGAGGGGTCTTGGAAAAAATCTCTTCCGTGGGTCATGGATATTTTCTGAAACTACACAATACGGAAGTTGAGATTAAAATTGCAGTGATACACTAGTCCACTGACTACAAGTAAAGAAAAACTTTGACTGACCTGCCATGTTTAATGTATTTCACTTCCTCCACTAATCTTCTGGTGTTTTATGTCTTTCTTGTTTGTCCTGATAAGAGATACAAACATATTGTTGAGTTAGTTACAATTTCTTACAATTTCTTACTGTTGGTATGCTTTAGCGTCATACATTTGACTGATGTAGGTACACTGTCTTGTGAACAACATCGCAGATGTACCAGAAACATTAACTGACCTGATCTAGCTGTATCTGACTCCTCCATTGATCTTAGTTGCCCCACGTTGTTGTTGCTTCTTGTCACCCTGCTAAATGAATGAAAATATTTCTAATCAGTGAAAGATCTGACAGTTGCTGTTTACTGTTGAGTAGAAGTTATTACATGCAACATTGAAAATTGCATTAAAAATGCTGTATTAATAAAAGTGATCAATTGAACAGCAGCTTTATTTACATTTTTCCAGCAACCCATGAGGTGTCGCATTCTCCAGATAAATTAGCTCATCGTTCAACCTTCTCAACAAACAAACAAAAAAGTCCAGCGTTCTTTTGAATGAGGCCTCAAACTACAGTAATGAATCAAGCCAATTTTCTGCCAAGCCCTTGCCGATCCATGGCATCATTGACTTGCCTACAGCATAGACTTAAATTCAGTAGTTTAACACAAATACTACCTGTATTACTGTAGCTGCCATGTGGAGTTGTTAACTCCCATATACATTGTATACACAAAAAATTACCTTTCTACTTCACGTAGCTTTATCTCACATCCACCACTGGCCTTTCAGTTCTCCAGGCCCATCACTTTATGTTCAGGTGCTTCATGTTTTACCTGATAAGCAATACAGACACTTTAATAAGTGACGTGCTGTCTATTTTTTTTTTAATACGTACATTTAACAATATGCCCACAATATTCAAACAACCATAAATCAATCATGTTAATACAAACCAATGAAAGTGTACATTAAAATCAGAGTTAATCCATTACTAAGATTACTGTTCGGAGGGGAAGGAGGTGGCGGGAAAACTTCACAGGAAAGACAACCAAAACAGTTCAGGAGGAAAAATGTCGGACAGGCCTGGAAAAAATTTCCAGCTTACTCCTGGTCGGGGTAAGTGATAATCTCAGTTGTTCAGGTGTATGTAAGGCAAAGGTGACAGAAGCTGTGAAAGGTTTAATTCAAGCCACGGAATGGTTGGCATATATCTGTCTGGCAATTAATATTTTGAGTTACTGCATTGGTAAAAAAGATTTT